CTGCAGATTAAGTTTTCTAAGCTAAGAATTTTAATAATAATTTTCCATCTATATCCAAACATAGAAAAACAAATGATTAGTACATGGAGCCAGTAAACCCTTTAAATTAGTAATAATAAATGGTGAGTATGAATGCCAGAGTAAACAAAGAAGCTGCTGATAGATTTATATTCAATCATCTGGGGATTTCTAAAGAAGCGATGGCTTAGTAAAATCTCTAAAAATAATTTAATGAAAGCAATAAAGAAAATCATAACAATATTAGATCTTAGAAATCTGATGAGGTCTGCTCTGCCTAGGATTTAGAAAAGGCTGAATAAATTAAAAATTTGTTTCAATCAATTGCTGATTGGGCCATAAAGAAAAATTAGAAGTATGAGTTCTAAGATACCACTCCAGAAATCAGTGGAAATCATAGGAAACTGTTATACTTTGATTTAGATCTTTATGGAGACGGAGAGGCTTCAACTTAGAGATAGGCTAAGATAATATGCGCTAAGCAAGCATTAGAAAATTTAAATGCTGGGAGAATTCTTCCAAAGCCTTGCTCTAAAGATGGTAATAAATATTTGCTTTTATTAATGTGATTTTAGGTTTGATTGCATTCATTCGTTAAAACAAGGATTTGAAGAGCATCATGATCACAGATCCAGATTAACTCTTCGCATAATAACAGCTGCTTGCGGAGTAATAGAAACAGTATGAGCTAGAACATTAAGAGGAATTGAAGAAATAAGAATTAGAGAATGAAAAAAAAAGAAAAGAGGAGAGAGAACGTTAAAGAATTCAATAATATGAGTCTAAAGCCCTTGAAAAAAGAAAACTCAAGGAGGAAAAATGAAAACTCAAAGAACTTAAGATACAAGAAAAACTATTGGATAAAGAGAAAAAAAGACTAGCTAAGTTATAGGAGAAAAGGGCCTCAGCTGTGCTTAAGTATACAGTGTCCCTTGAGGAGCAAGGAATGCTAGAGGCATATGTTATGCTCAGATCACATGAAATTTAGCTATCAGTAGAAGATTAATACGATTTTGTAAAGTTTATGTTCAAATTATCTGAAATTAAAGAGCCCTTGGAATAACTTGGTATAATGAATATGATACCTGTTGGATCAGCTGTCACAAAGACAGTAAGAAAGGAGTTTTATACAATTGATGTCATTTTAAACTACAATAAGGCAAGTGCATTTAAAAATGGAGGTAAAAATTTGCCCCCAGAGACGCAGGAAAGATTATTTTTAGAATTAGTTGAATAACTTTCTCTTTTATTGAGCAAAGAGTTTATTCAAAACTGTCAATTTATAGGAAGTGGAGGACTTTATAATTAAAGTGTCAATGCTAATCCTGTATATCAAGTTTTCAGTGAAGCAAAAGGAGATGGTGTTAATGATCCACTTGTAGCAATAGTCAAACTTATGAACACTCAAGATTAGTCGAAACTAAATGCGAGTTTTTACTTGCAAGAAATCACTTAGCATGACACTTTCTACAGTATAAAACATTGGCACATGATGCAAAAAACTCTAAAAGATGATGTTAAATTCGGTGCTGTACTAAGAGTATTAAAATAGTGGAGGGACTATTAGTAGCTGTAGAGTATGCTTTACCCAGAAGTGCTAGATAGCATAGTATTAATGTGTGTGAAAGATCGAGAAAATCTAGATGATTGTCTAGCTGCTTCAATTGTATAATAATTATTGAAGTTTAATTTCTTTTAAATAGGTGGTTAAAGTTTTTGAAGAGATTTCCTAGAAAGACTTCTTTCAAAGCGTTTTGCTAGAAGAATCAAAACAAGAAACTGTTATTTTTAATTATTTTGCATCGGTAAGTTACTCATAGGTTCAAATATTTTAACTCTACACACTTGTTGATTACACTAATTTTAAGTAGTAATCAAGATTTTAGTTAGCAATAACAAGGAGCTAGCTTTAGAGTTACAAATTTAGTTCATTTTAAAATCTTGTCTAACTTTTATTTTTGTAGAAAATGTCAACTGAACATTAAGAATAGGTTAGTAAAGCAGCTAAATCATCTCTTAAATGGATTAAAAACAAGGAATTTGCCAAAGTCTTTTGATAATAATTTTATTTATATATAGTTTTAGATTTGTAAATATGATTACCTCAATTTTATTTTTCTTTATGGGGTTTTGGGGTTTTGGGG